TGGGAAATGCTGGCCTACATTTCACTTTGATTTCCAGCCAGGGCTCAGCCCCTGAGCATTCCCAAGCAGGGCACCCACCCCAGCAGATGCTGCTGACAATGCAAACTCCCAAGCCCTGGGGCTGGGGGGCCTTCTCCCAGCACGACCCAAGGCGAACCACCTGGGGCCCACACAGCAGGTGCCTGTGCAGCTGCTCAGAGCTCTGCTGAGGGGCAGTGCCATAGGGGTGTCCATGCTGCTTTGTATTCCCTCGCTTTGCTTTGCCATGCTGCACGTGGTTCCTACTGGCCTGTGCTGCTCTGTGGTGACTGGGGGTGCCTCGGTTTCCCTGGGCCCTGCGGCGCTGTCTGTTGGAGAGGGCATGATTCACTACAGATCTGAGGCCAGACCCAGGAGAGCAGCCCTGCCAGGAAGGGAGACAAAGGGTAGGCGGGGCCACTGCAGGCTGGGGACTAGGGCCTGGGGGAAGGGCACCGTCTCTGGGGGTTCAGGAGGAGAGAGGGCCAGGGAGGAATAGCACTGGCTGCTCCTGCTCCCTGTATTAACAATGACCCTGCGCTAGGCTGCGTCCCCTTCTGTTCTACCTGCCCCGAGAGTCCTGGCTGGCTGCGGGTGGGGGGCTGGGCCCGGGGACCCCCCACACCCCGTGAGTTGAAACTTTGGACCCTCCTGGGGGTGCCCGCACTCCCACCGGGCCTCTGCCAGCAGCTCTGGGATCGGCACTTCCACCCGCTGCCTGCTGGCGATGGGCCGGAGCCCAGACGCTGCCTGGCAGGCTGAGGAAGAGAAGCCGCAGGGCAGGGCCCCGACAGCCCTACCTGGTCGCAGTTCCTTTGGGACTGCAGGTGTGTCTGGAGCCGGCGCAGCAGAGGGACCCCGTTGCGGGACTGTCTCTTCAGCGTCCAGTAGCTGTGAAGCCGCTGCATGAACTGGCTCTTCCGCGGGATGCTCAACCGGTTAGTGATCTTACTGAGCCTGCAGCGGGAGGGAAGGGCGGGCGGTGAGCAGCCCTGCCGGGCCAGCGGCCAGGGCCCAGCTCCCAGGCTGTGCTGGGGCTGGGGAGCCCAGCGGAGAAGGGCATGGAACCAACAGACTGTGCTGCGGCCGGGTGCCATGGGGGCCAGCCGGCCCCGGCCCCGCAGGTGGGCTAGGAACCCTGTAGCAGGCTATCAGAAGGAGGGCAGGCCTTCGCGGGCTCTGCCAAAGCTGCAGCATTATGGGAGCGCCCGCAGGCCCCGCTCGGAGCCCGAGGCCAGGCACTGCACACACAGCCCCCTGCACAAGCAGGAACAGAAGGGGGTGAGCCCCAGGCCCAGCGGGCAACTCCTGGGGGCCTGCGTCAGGCCCCATTCCCTGTGCAGCAGCCACACGGCCTGCGTCGCTGCCCACAGGGAGGAGACCCTTGTCCCGCAGTTCTCACACACCCGGCCCACGGGGAGTCCGCCAGAACCCAGCACTGACTGTGGGCTCAGGGCTCCTCCTCCACGCGGCTCCCGCCAGGCGCCCAATGAGAACAGCCATGCCCAGGGTGGGGGAAGGGCTCTAGCGCCAGCGGCGTGCAGGGTAGTGCTGGCCCCTCCCTCTCTAGGGATGGGGAGGGGCCACGCAGCGCAGAGCTGAGGCGCCTGGGACGGCGTATTGACACCACAGTCCCTGCGTGGCCTCTCCTGCAGCGCCCCTCGCCGGCAGGCGCCCCCCCAGCCCTTCTCTGCCTCCTCCACTGGGCCACCGCGGCAGCAGGTCACAGGCAGCCTGGCAGGGAGGCCAGAGAAGCGAAGCACCAGGAGAGGAGACTGCTGGTCCAGATCCAACCTCCGCAGCCTGGCCCTCCCTGCCCAGTGCACTGAGCAGCCTTTGCCCCCAGGACTCACCCGTCGCCCAGCCCACAGCCTCAGAGACCCCCTGGCAGCCTGAAAGGGAGCACTGGGAGAAAGCTGGCTCATGTCTCCCAGAATCACTGCCATGGCCCAATGGCCTCTCGGCTCCCCGCCCCCGGAGAGCTGCACGGACAACGGCACCCAAGACGTGCTTACCCCTGGAACTCCCTGCCGCGTGGGACCAGCCAC